AGCGCGTATTTTGCGTGTGGAGAGGAATAATGTAATTTTCGAGCCATGAAATATCCCCGAAGAAGTTTAACAGTCCTTTGATGTTGCAAGTAACTTCGGGGAGTGATCCCGGCATGCCGAGATGTTGACTTTAGGTAGATCTTAGATAATTTTTCAGCCATTTTAAGTTTTTAAGCACCCGAAAAATTTGTCACTGGTGGAATAAATCCATGTTGACTGCTATATCCAAGTTTAGATAAACATTTTGAAAATTCTGGTTCCGCAAGAACGAAGATAAAATTCTCAATGATCCAGAATCTGGTTTCACCAAAATTCTTTCAGAAAAAATGTGGCATTGAAAATGTATGAATTCTTGAACTACATAAGTCAGTCTCTAAATCATTAGGATATATTTCTTCCAAGAAAAGGGCTTTTTCTGTAAGAGTTATGATAATGTTGTTGATTGTCGTCCGAAATCAAAAGTTTTTTTGAACCAACACGGAACAAAAACGGTAGGTTTTTCTAATTCACGTACGAGTCTATCAATGAGGAGGAGAAATGTAGATATTAGCCCAGAAAGTATCACTCGAAGTCATTCTCATTTCTGTATCAGGTGTCTCATCATATATTTTTTCGGTTCCGGTTGTATTTTCCCCCACGTTTTTTGCATACTGCTTCGACACGCTTAATTTGATCACTTTTTCTTGGAAATACTTAAAAATTTTTCGTTCAGCTACAAAGAACTGAAGAAGCGACAAGCTTCTGTGCAACATTCAGAAGCCGCAGTTGCCACTAAATTTTAAGAGAGGACAGAGCAAGGAACGAAAAAAGCAAAAGCTGTTTGGCTTTGAATTTTAGCCATTGTACACACACCAGACATGGTTTTATCATACTAGGGCAAGAACCCTCTTCAGAACGTTTTTCCAATAAGTAATTTTCCAAAAAATTGTGCCCGAGAAATATTAGTACGTATTAGAAAAAGCACCAGGATTCAAACGAGGCAGCTTTTCTTTTGATTTTGAAGTAAATATGTACATCTATCTGTTTCGAACTCAATGCCAACACGCAGCGTACGCTTTCAACAGTACGATCCTGTTGCGGTTCCCACGGCGGCCGCGCCTCTCTCGTTCAGTCAATTCATCAGCGTTTCCATAGATATACTACATAGGCCAGGCATTTCGATCAAACACTTAGCGAATGGTCATGTCACTCGTTGCCACGCCACAACCAAATGCAAATTGTAGGAAAATTTATCAACCAAGTGAAAAATGAAAAAGTTTTAGCCCCAAATTCGCCGCCCCTAAAATTTTTCGGCCTAGGCTGCCAGCCTACTCAGCCTGCTGGTAAATCCGCCCCTGTGCAGAATGCTGCAGCGCAAACCAAACTGCTTAGCCCCTGCGCTACAGAAACGTCAAAGCTGAGAGATGTGAGACTTTGTTGCTATTATCTTTCAGTAATGTCCATAGTTTTAGTCCATACTGTCAGAACCTACCTGCCTTAATTTGATGCTTTTAAAAAATTATGAAATTTCTTTCTTTCCCTGATTTTTCCAACAATATTTTTCAATTAATTTAAACTCTATATTATATGTTATTGAAGTCATTGTTGAACAACTTTATCATGTAACAAATGCTACAAGAAAATTTTTATGAAACAATATATGTCTCAGTTTTTAAAAGGTTAATCGTTTAATAAACTTAACTCTATACTTGTAGGTATTAAGAGTTAAGACTATAAAAAATAATATGTCACCTCGAGGTTTTTCAACGCTAAGAAATGTTAAGCATGACAAGCCCGTGGCAGGTCAACCGTAAATTGGCTTTCGTGACGAAACACACACGGGTTACTAACAAAGAAATAATATGTGGATGAAAATTGACAAAGGTGCATGCATTTTCTTTGCTTTTATATTCGGCATTTTAATAGTTAACATACCAGTACGGTCGCGATATTGCTTGTTCCTGTGAACAGAAAACAATTTTCGTGTCTTGAAGTTTGTATTTTTTAAATAAAGTCTTTAATCTTATATTACGAGTTGATAAAAACAATATATATGTTATACGATTACAACATCATCATCATTTAACAGCCTTTCACAAGTGCACTATTGAATATAAGCCTTTCCCAAGGAGTGGGACATTACACGGTCCTGAGCCATCTACATACGAGTACATCTACTTCCTACAATCTTATCAGGGCGTCACTGCATCTAATGGAGGGCGCCCACACTTCGCTTACCGGTACGAGGTTGCACCTGAGAACCTTTCTTCCTCATCGGTTGTCGTTTCGTCAAGCTGTATGACTGTCCTATTACCACTCAGTTTACTGATCCGTTCTGTATGTTGATTACTCTGGTAGTGCGGATATTTTCATTTCGAATTCTATCACCCTCATTATAGATCGCCCCATAGCTCGCTGAGTGACCTTGAGCTTCCTCTTACGGCCAGATGTGAAGGACTACATCTCAGATCCAAAAGTCATCACTGGCAACACACACTAGTTGTACTGTTGGCTGTATGTTGTCAAATCTGCTGAAAACTGCAGCTTCGTTTCCCTTCTAACGTCTATGAGATTAAGAGAGAGAAAGAGTTTTTGTGTTCTACTGCGACGGGTCTTGCAGAACTTAGCTCCGACCGCATGGACAGTTTCCACGAGCTTGTCATTCATATCGTCCTCTGCATCGCAGTCCTAAATCTCAGATGAATATGTCACTATGCACTGGTTGAACACTCTTACTTTAAGTTTTGGGAAACAAGTGACGATCAGATATGTCATAATCTTCCGGACATTGCCTAGCCGAGTTATGTCCGTCGATTGACTTCTCTGTCGAAGTTGGACTTACCAAATCGTTCAACTAGTCCTTGGTAAAATTACTCGTTAACAATTTCTTAAGTATTTTTCAATTACTCTACTTTTTCATATTCAGTTACTTCTGAGAACTAAGACGGAATTTCTCGCTATCAGCAAAAAGGATCTTTGGTTTTTGATCATCACTCAAGATTCGAAACTCAGCGTTGTGCTCCTTCTGCAATCTGATATTGTGTGGACTTATCTTTATATATTTCTTTGGATATTTGCCACTGCACGATGGCGGTGTTAGAATATCCACTAGCCGTTATCGTACCATACGTCGTAAGAGACGTCTTCCTAATAAGAATAAAAAATAAAAACTGTGGTTGCCAGCCCGTCTGCCGAATGTGGCAACTATGACACATATCGTCTTCCCAGGTCAGAGGTATTTTCCGAACCAGTGGTAAATAAAAAATGATTTTCAATAAGTATTATGTAATAATCAATATTGAATAAAGAATCATTCTATTCTATTCTATTCTATGTTCAACAGTGGACTTTTGATAGACTGAAACGGCGTGTCTTTTCCACTTAAGTGTTTAGCTTATGTTCGACATATATGCTACATGCACACGCTTCAGGATGGCTCAATCAACACTTCAATTTACAGACCCGAAATGTAAGTGAACTAATTGTACTGTACAATACTCCTTTAAATATTCTTAATCTCTATTCTAATTCTAATCTTCAAGCTTAAGAACAATTAATAACATTTTACAATTCTAATCGAAAAATATATAATAAGAAACATAATAAATACATATAATTTCTTTTCTAATTCATTTTTTAACTTTTTTCACTTTTTATCCACAAAGAAAATTAAAAGCTACAATATCATTGTCAATTACAAACACCCAAGTTCACATAGAACTTTGAGGTACGCGTAAAATTATATACAAGGCAGACTAGCAGATTTAAGCTCATTAGTCACGCTGATTTCTATAAAAAATATTGTAAAATGTCATCAGCAATATAAAAAAGACTTAATTATAAAACTAAATTAAACAAACTACGATAGACTAAATTATAGCATCACTTTCAAATTTTTCTGCCCCTCGAATTCAGCCGACCTTAACCCAGGAATCGCGAACGTTAACTTAAACCGTCGCTGGCAAGGTGTAAAAGTAGGCTTGCTGTAAGGGTAGGGTACAAGTGAGTTTCCATTGTTAACACCGACACGACAACGGAACATTGGGACATTTTCGCTCTTAAAAGTTAAAAACAATTTAACGTGAAGCCAAGTAAACCAACGTATTCCTTTTTGTAACTCTAACAATCGCTATCAGAACATTTATGGCTCGACAACTTATATTAAAAAAATCGTGACTTTACACTCTAATATTTCAATGTTCATATTTGTTTATCAAAAAACCTAAAATGTGTCAAATAATTATAACATGTACAGTTGAAACTCTCAAACAGTTACGTTAAATTTGAATAATATTTTGGTTACTGTATTTAAAATCACATTTTTGGATGTGAGACTCTTTACCCTCCCAGCTACGTGTCGTATCAAACAATGGAGAAAAATCCAGTAATGGCTATCGCGCATGCCCACAGCCTCTGGTCCAAGCGCCCTCCGCTCGGAACTACCATACAGTTTTGTCTCAGACATGTGCCGCGACGACAACTCTATTTTATGTACCATACAATGAAAAACTATATTGTTTACCAGTTTACATTGTGTAATCGGAACTTTTTAACATCCTATCACTGTCTTCTTGCAATATAATATAGCTTTTTTTTTATAAGTCATCGAAAACACCTTAAAATGTAATATATCTCGTTTAGCCTCTTCATATTGTTTAAAGTGATATGATTAACACGTTAGGTAAGTCAACAACTTGTCTTAAAACCTTTCCATTAAAACTGTTTCTAAAAATTAATACTGTGTTATATTTTTAACTACTTATTATATTATTTAAAAATAATATATATAAATATAACTGTTACTTAATTTGAACTGTAATAAATAAAACGATCGTTTTACACATATTTTAGAAACATAATTTCGTAATTTTACACAAAATTAAAAAAATTATAGTGTAAACATTCTTTGGTAAAATATATCGAATCAAACTTATATAATGTTTTCAATATAATATATTAAAATAAATGTTATAGTGTATTTCTGAACACAGTTCTTACAGATAATTAACAATATTTTCAGAATGGTTCAGTCGATGAGAAGTATCGTCGGACGGACAGCACCGGTTCGATTTCGGTACATTTTTCTACTTGCAACCGTCTTCGGTGGGAGCTTTCTGATTCTCATCATAAACAATAGCACAGACATTTTTTCCTTCAAAAATGACGTAAGTTCGACGTGGTATTCATCCCATCGTTATGAGCTTTTCGATTCTGGCGCAAGTTTCACGATCAAAACTGAGGGTTGTACCATTCCAGGTTTACATCCTTTTGATGAAAGCATTCGAAAATTTATTGAACAACCAAAACATTTAAAATCATGTTCTAGAGATAACGCCTCTCTGCTGAAGAGTAATGAGACACATATTTGGATATCATCTGAAAAAGTTAATCTGCCCACAGACGCAAACATATCCTGTTGTTATAAATCGTTTTACAGACCTCTATCCATAAACGACATATCTTCCACCGATGTTGACGATAGAGTAAAATATGAAGAATGCATTTATTTCTCTGATTACGTAGAAGTTGCAAATGAATTTGTTAAAGTGTCTTGTATCGACCATGACAAAACAATATACGAACAGTTTTTTTTATTTGCACCAAAAAAGCCATTTATGTCTTACAAGGACGATTCAGTTGAAGCCCCTATAAATCAGTCAGGGTACAACGTTATAGTAATGGGCATTGACGCGATTTCGAGATTGAATTTTTATAGAACGATGCCTAGGACTTTGGCCTATTTGAAGAAAAAAGGTGCTATAGAGTTATTTGGTTACAATAAAGTGGGTGACAATACTTTTCCTAATCTAACACCTATGCTACTCGGCATAAAAGACACAGATTTGAAAAGGACTTGCTGGCCCAACACCAGAGCAACTTTTGATAATTGTCCTTTTATTTGGGACTGGTTCAAAGAAGTGGGTTATTATACAGCACTTGGTGAAGACAGTGCCAGTTTAGGTACATTTAACTTCGAAAAAATGGGGTTCAGTGGTACTCCGACCGATTATTATATTCACACATTCATGCATGAAGCTGAACTTCAGGTGGGAAATAATAAAGACTTCAATTCGTTTATATGCATGGGAAATAAATACTTTTTTCAAGTATTACTCGATTATATACAAGACTTAACAAGAACCTTAAAATCATCAAAATTGTTTGGCTTCTTTTGGGAAGTGACAATGAGTCATGATTATTTAAATTACCCGGTCATTATGGATAACAGTTATGAAAAGTTTTTAAAGTATTTAGACGACACAAAATATTTAGAAGAAACCGTATTAATTTTATTAAGTGACCACGGTATACGATGGGGTGATATTCGGTTTACCAAGCAAGGACGCCTGGAAGAAAGATTACCACTTGTTCACATATTGTTACCAACATCATTTAGAGAAAACTATTCCCTGGCGTATAGTAATTTGAAATTAAACAGTAGACGTCTTACCACACCTTTTGATTTGTACGCGACTCTCTCGGATCTCGTTAACTTAGATACAATTAAAAATGAAAAAATCAGATATCGAAGTTCTTTATATTATGCACAAAAAAATAGCATCAGTTTATTTTTACCTATACCTAGTAACCGAACATGCCAGATAGCCGCAATTGACGACCACTGGTGTACGTGTCACGTTGGAAAAAAGATATCTATTAAAAGTACTGAAGCATTAGAAGCTGCCGCCTTCTTAGTGAAGCGATTAAATATAATGGTGCGTCCATACACACAGTGTGAACCTCTTTTGCTTGCTGAACTGTTGGAAATAACTGAAATGGAAGTGGGAACGCCGGGTGAGAACGAAGTGGGTTGGCGTGAATTTATGGTGACAATACGCACTGTACCTGGTGGTGGTATGTTTGAGGCGACTTTACGCCACGACAGCAGCGGCTGGTCGTTAGCTGGTACTGTCAGCCGACTTAACCTCTATGGCGATCAAAGTCGCTGTGTTCACGACTATCAATTAAAATTATATTGCTACTGTAGATAAGTGTTTCTTAGATACAAAGTCGAAAATCTGTGATATTGTTAATTGTTGTGTATCTTAAGCACGAATAGATATAGATTATAGTTCACGAATCGATATAGAGCAAAATAAATGGGTTGCTCAAATCATATCACGGCCTATACTGTGCATAAAACACAGTTGAAATAAGCAGTAGATAAAGATATTTTTCTGCTTTTAAAAATTCTTTTAATTTGTTGTTACTATTTTCATTTGTTGCTTAGAGAAAGAAATAAAACTCTTTTAGGTATATCAATGAAATTTATTTATTGTTATAAAAAAATAAAGTAATGTTCTTTTTTTTTTAGGATGCATCATATTTCCAGACATTTTACTTTAGATTTTTTAAAAAATAATTACTCTGCCCATTTAGTTTGCCTATAAATAATTTAGCAATAATCATCAAGTTTACGATCGCATATTATTTACAATCCCATTATTTATACATTTACAAAAGAAAACCTTCTCCCTAGAGCGCCAGATATCGACATAAAGCACTTAACTTTTTATAAATTTTGATAGAGGGACTTTGTTTTCACTATCGTTGCTTACATCGTTTTACTCCCTCACTTTTTATCTTGATATATTTTTTCTCATTATATTAATATCGTACTCGAAGAATTTCTAAAAAGTAATCTTAAAAGTGATGCGTTGTTAGAAAAAAATATAGAAGCTTTAATTTATGTAAGTCGAATATTAAGGCAGAATTTGCAGAATCAAACTAATTTAATGTAACATTACATACGAGGGCGACACTGAAAGTTTTTAGAACTGGCCTGTAAACGACGTAATAAAAAAAATAAGTTAAAATTTTGAAAATGGAACTCTTTGCCGATATTATTGTGTATGTATTTTAATAATTTGACATTTGTTTACGATTTGGCGGCAAATTGAAAATTGTCAATGTCTAAGGTCAATGTCACGTCAGCAATGCGTCCGCATGAATTTTACACGAGAAAATTTTCGTACAATGATTTTTTATGACTTTCGATGTCATTTAAGTCAATAAGTAAGTATTTATTTACATATTATATACATCTCGTGCCACTGTTTACAACTGCTTTAATGAGTTTAAACGTGGTCGCACTAATCTCACCGATGATCTGCGTGAGGGACGGCCTTCTACGGACTCTCTCACGGGTGACGAAATTGTTTATTGTTATGATCCTGAAACTAAGAGGCAGTCTGCTGTCTGGGTGTTTCCTTCCGAAGAGTTGCCAACTAAAGGGAAGAGAGGACAGGTCATTACGCAACAATTGTTTTAGAGGATCGAAAAACAGTTACTGCAGAGTGGTACACTAACAATTGTTTGCCACTTGTCTTAGAAAAAGTTTGGGAGAAACGACCTCACAGTAGGATCCTCCTTCACAACGAAAACGCCTCGTCGCACACTGCCAAGCAAATAATCGACTACTTGGCGATGTCAGACGTGGAATTACTGGGTCACCCGCCCTGTAGCCCCGACCTTGAGACCTTGCGATTTTTATTTATTTCCAAAAATAAAATAAAAACTTCGAGGAAAACGCTTTATGGATGTCGAGGAAGCAGTGGCTGCGTTTCAAAATGCCCTCGAAGAGACCCCTAAGAACGAGTGGGCAAAGTGCTTTTCTCAGTGGTTCCAACGGATGGAGCGATGTATTGATGTAAATGGACACTGTTTTCAAAAGATATAATAAAACTAATAACTTGCTAGTTTGTTCAGTTTATGATTTTCTAAGAACTTACAGTGTCACCCTCGTACTATGTATATTTTGTTATTAGATAATGTTATTGAAACATAATTATAATTATAGGAAATTAGAAAAATAATTATTTAGAAGTATAATATGTACTTATGTAAAAACATGTAAACTTGTCAGCTTTAAAATTAAAATGTAGTCGAGCTTTATCTCTATGCTGTTATATGAAAATTTCATTTGTAATAGCCTTTTTGTAAATAAGATTTATTTTCCATCATTTTATCTAGTATTATTTTAATAACAACAAATAAAAAAGTGTCAATTTGACAGAAATCCCCTTAAAGACAGACTTAGTAAAAATACACATAGTAAAAGAAACCAGACAAATGCGAGTAACACTCGCGCCCTGAGGATTCCATATAAACTTAATTATGTGTGTGAATAGTTCATCCATCCCGGAAATTATATGTAGGAAAGTTAGCACTGAACCGTGTACATAGTTACGGCAAAAGAGAATAAACTATTCTATATTATTTCGTGGTTGTCGTAAGAGACGACTGTGGCAAAGGAAACAGGAAATAGGTAAATGCATCTTCGAACCAATCGTGGCAACTATGGCAAATATCCCTTTCTATAAGACAATCTATGGGGAAGTCTAAGTTAAGACTTTTGAAAGGATGTAATGAACGAAGAAAACACCAGTGACTTACCTACCTACTTATTCGTTAGGCAATTCGGCAGTGGAGAAATATCTTCTTACACACATCGATCTACGTCACGGCGAATACTCCAACTGCATTACAAGTAAATGTAAGAATCGAAAACAATATTTTTTCATGTGATATAACTAAAAATTAACGATTTACGGATTTTTTATTCTTTACTCATGCTGTGATATCATGTTTCTCGCCAAGTATTTCATGATTCTAGATTATCAAGAAGTACCTTATAAGTTTTGATGAATAAATTTGCGAGTTTCAAAATATGTGACATAAATAGCCGTATCTTTTGATTATCTTTACTTGAAGCTTAAATCTCCAAGTGACTTATTAGATATTAATTGAAACCTCATTTGTTCCTGAGAATAAGAGTTCATTATCCAGAACTGCATATGTCACATGTACGGACCGATGAACAGACAACAAAGTGATCCTGTATATGTGCATGTGAACCTTCTTTATTTGAGGTTACGAATGTCATCTACCATGAGTTGTACTGAAAACTCATATTTCATTTTTATTAACGCTATTATCTAATTTAACTACATATGTGTATAAATATTAAATACTCTATTATAATTTTTGTATTAAATATATATTTACACTCGTTTAGTTGTTTCTAGTCAGTAAAGATTGTATGCTAAATGAATGCTTCGTGATGCCTTAAACAAAACTCCTCATGACAATCACCAGTTTGCATATAGTTTTTGAAACAATTTCAAATTGGAATTACCATCGAATTAACGAATAACTACGTAGTTTTATAATATTGACAGTCTTCGCGCAAGCACCCTATGTGTTTTACTCGATAGCATGCGAGTTAAATCAGCCATTAGTCCCAAACGCCGGTCAATCGCAATCGAAAATGTTTCTTTTAAAAATATTGGTTCGAATTTGTTATGGAATTCGTAGCAACACTTTGGTAGGCAGCAATTTAGTTACGCTAACTACAAAGCCTCGTTGATTTTGCAGCGCGTCGATTTGATTATACATTATCAAAAATAAATTTTACTAGCACTTTACAAGGTGGCAGAGCTCCTTAACGCTTTGCAATCTGTATGAATAGTTACCAGTCTAGTGTAATCAGAGACATTTCATTGGCTGCAGCTTCGGTGACTCGGGATGTAAACACCAGCACACTTAAAAAGAAGTATAACTTCGCCTCCAGGTCCTTCAAAAGAGTTATTGCCAAGGCAAAGTCAGAGCACATAGGCAGAATTGGCGAGAAACTAGTTCGCCTTCCTTCGGGAACCCGTGCATTCTGGTCTCTCGCCAAGGCTGTCCAAGGGAATTTCTGTAAGCCATCACTACCATCTCTGCACAGGGAGGACGACTCACTGGCCCAAGACGCAAAAGACAAAGCCGACCTTTTAGGCTCCCTTTTTGCGTCCAACTCGACTCTTGATGACGGGGGGAAAATACCGCCGACCATCCCGCGGTGCGAGTGCTCCATGCCGGATGTGCTATTCTCACAGCGCTCAGTTCGCAAAGCACTTCTCTCCCTGGACATCCAGAAGTCGAGTGGGCCTGACGGAATCCCCCCAATTGTGCTGAGGACGTGTGCTCCGGAGTTGGCACCGGTCCTAACGCGTCTTTTCCGGTACTCCTACTCCCAAGGCGTAGTCCCGAATTCATGGAAGACAGCTTTTGTCCACCCGATCCCTAAAAAAGGCGACCGCTCAGACCCGTCCAACTATAGGCCTATCGCGATCACCTCCTTGTTCTCCAAAATAATGGAATCCATTATTAACTGCCAGCTCATCCGGTACCTTGAGGATCACCAGCTGATTAGTGACCGCCAATACGGTTTTCGTCGGTGTCGATCAGCTGGTGATCTTCTGGTCTACCTGACCCATAGATGGGCGGAGGCAGTAGAGTCCAAGGGGGAGGCGTTGGCCGTTAGTCTGGACATTGCGAAGGCCTTTGATCGGGTTTGGCACAAAGCGCTTCTTTCAAAGCTGCCTTCCTATGGGCTTCCCGAGAAATTGTGCAATTGGATCACCAGCTTTCTTGCAGATCGGAGCATCAAGGTCGTTGTAGACGGTGCATGTTCTGACTACAAGCCTATTAACGCTGGTGTTCCACAAGGCTGTGTGCTATCACCAACGCTGTTTCTTCTGCATATCAATGATATGTTGCTAACTGGTAACATTCATTGCTATGCGGATGACAGCACTGGTGATGCTCTATACACCGGCCGGGCCAATATTTCTCGGGAAAACGTCGCCGAGTACCGGAACAAACTTGTGTCTGAAGTCGAGTCTTTGCTGGACAAAGTCTCGGATTGGGGGCGACTAAATCTAGTCCAGTTTAATCCTCAGAAGACACAAGTTTGCGCGTTTACCGCTAAAAATAACCCCTTTGTCGTATCTCCTCAGTTTCAAGGCACTCCCCTTCTTGCCTCAGCCAGTATCGGTATCCTCGGAGTCGACATATCGAGTGACGTGCAGTTTCGTGGTCACTTGGAAGAGAAGGCCAAATTGGCCTCTAAAAGGCTTGGCGTGCTCAGCAGAGCGGGACAGTATTTCATGCCGGCACACCGCCTGCAACTTTACAAGGCGCAGGTTCGGCCTCACATGGAATACTG